GTCCGTAAAATGCTATGAATCGGCCCTCACTGTAGGTTCCAGCTCTCCTAACCAGCATTATTAGCGTTCATAGCGATGGTCAAAACTAAATAACTGAATGCACGACGAGACGGCACATGAAAATTTTTTTCACAGATGAGTGTGACTACGAAGCTACTTAGTTATAGGACCGATAGGGTCACGAAAACCTATGGTGATGATGACTAGATGGACATTACTGGTTACTCTGAGCGTCAATGAGTCTGTAAAATGCTACAAACCGCCTATCACCGTAGGTTCCCGCTCTCCTAACCAGCATTATTAGGATTCATGGTGATGGTCAAAACTGCACAATTTAGTTCAAGTTACTACAGGAGATGAAAATTTTCTTCCTAGATGAGTGTGACTACGAAGCTAGTTATAGGACCGATAGGGTCACGAAAATCTACGGTGATGGGCGCTAAATGCGCACTACTGGTTACCCTGAGCCTCAATGAGTCGTTAGAATGCTACAAACCGGCCATCACTATACGTTTCTGACGTCGTAACCGGTATTATTGGCCTTAAGGGTGTTTGTTGATATCGCATTCCTAAGTTATTTACATAAGCATCTTTCATATTCAGATAGCTTTACGCTAGCACAGCTTCAGTTATATGAACATACTGATGTTGGCTGTCGTATGCCTACAGGCAGTAGCGTATTTGTGAAGTAGTTACTATATGGGAATAGCTTATGAAATTTGTGAAATACGATCATATATCACAATAGCTAGATGGGTAGCGACTCAGTGTGCACTTCTCGATTACGACATGAGCAGCTTCACTTTTAATAGGAATCAGATCAACCTGAGTAGCTTTAATTGGAGTACGTTGTGGCCGGTGCTTACGGTCACCGGTGGCCACCGTTACCGTTGCATTCCTACTCTACATCTTGATGTATTTTTTATTGAAACTTGGTTCAGGTATTTCAAAATAATGTGAGAAATACCAACTTTTTAAGTTGAAAAACGTTGTAAGAACTTTTCAACCTGTGTTGGATTTTTTGCTTTTCATCTGTCTCAGTTTCGTTCTGAAAAAATACGCGTAGTAAGAAATTTGTAATTCAGACATGACTCTTTCCAACAACAAAAAGTTTGATTCGTTGGTCTTAGTAATTTCGCATCATTAGTTGAAAAAAGGACCTGATCAAATTTTGATTGGCATAAATATTTATATTGTGAGATATAAGTTTAATCCGAGATAGTTTTTTGACGTGTAGACATGCCTATGACATATAATCAACAAGGCATAGGATATCGAAAAAATGTAACACAACAACAGCTCTGCTTTCTTGAAACAGATAAACAATCAACTTTGTCATCGACAATTCTATTGATTTATATCGAATCTAGTCATTGGTGAATTAATTATGTTCGCTTGACAATTATCACATCGAATTTCATAATCATCGTTGAATATGAAATCGAAAAAAATCACAGATAAATAAAACTGAAATTTTCATCAAATATTTCCAATAATTAATTGCTCAAACTTTTATTGCTTATTTGCTGTAATGGTTGACATTGATATAAATCGATCAATGGTTCAAACAAAGGAATGAATGAAGCAAAGACAAAAATAAAGTTGAAACTGATTATTCTGAGTCATTTTCCTTAACTTTAAATTATCGCAATTCAACAAGGAAATAAAAATGAAACAACAACAGAAATCCATGATCATTAAATGAATAAATTGATTGATCCAAAATTCATGGAGAAACACATAAAAATCATCGAAGTAAATAGAAAAAGCAATAAAAACAATAGCGGCAATCATAATTCAAGTTCGATGAGTCGCACGAATGAATTATTGAATATTAAATTGCGAAGTATGTTGATTGTTGAATATACTATTGAATATTTATTTTTATTTGATTTTGATTCAGTAATAGTCAATGATTGTAATGAATCGAACATTTTTACACACGAATCAATTTCTTCAAAATAATCATCAGTACATTAGAGTAATGATAAATGGCGGACAAAGTCAACATTCAATTTTTACCATAATTTCAATTTATCGATAACAATTTGAATCTGTATTGGAATAGTCGAATTGATAACAATCAATATTGATGGTCGAAGTTGTTCATTGATGAATAATTTCAAAAGATTTATTAGATCTGTTTAGAAACATTTAGCCAAATTCATATTACAACGATATTCGGATAGGCGAGAAAACATTCATTCATCATAATTGTGAACGGCTTTGATTATATGTACTGGGGTCAAATAGTGACAAATCCTAAGAAGAACTTTATCGAGCAAATCGTTAAAACAAGTTACACATTTATTTTGTTTTTTGACTTTTTGTCTTGATTGTCCTCTTTGGGGTGGATGTGGCTGCGTAACTGTAGCTTTAATCCATTTAGTGACCCACTCACACACACCCACCCTATGTACTATGTAAAAAGTTTTTCTGATCATCTTGGCTGCTATTTGAAAAACAATACAATATTTTATAGATACAAGAAAACAAATCAGAAGTTATCAAACCTCCTGTGTTTGACTACCACGTTGATCAATACGTAATTTTAATCCGGCTGGTATTGTACTTGTCATTTGTTGACATAAAGGAATACTAAAATTGTTCGATTTCTTTTTAATGTCATTTTACAATTAAGCAATATCGCTGTATTAATGTCCTTATATTTTCTCTTTCAATATACTCCAAACGATTTGTATAGGCCATATGTCACTCAGTTTTGCAGTGACAATTCATTGGTTCAATGCGATTGATAAAAACATGTTTAACGGCATCTAAAGTCATCTGCGTCCATTGTTTACGGTATTTGGACATCCTCAAAAATTACATTAAAAAGGAATCGAACAAATTTAGTATTCCTTTATGTCAACAAATGACAGGTAGAATACCAGCTGGATTAAAATTACGTATTGATCGGTGTGGTAATCAAACGCAAGAGGTTTGATAACTTCTGATTTGTTTTCTTGTATGTGTAAAAATTGTATTGTTTTTAAAATAGTAACCACGATGATCAGAAACAATTTTTAAATAATATATAGCAGTGTTGTTACAGTTTCTCATCCATTGTACAAGCTATAGACCTCAAATTTTGTAATTATGTAGTACTACTTATGTGCAATAATCTGCCAAAGTTTCAAAGAGTTTGCTTTTGGTGAATGCGAGAACGATGAATTTTTCAAATCGTTTCAGAACTTTCGGAACACCCTTTATGTTTGCTTATGCACATATAATTGCATAAATAATCTTTGTATAAGTCCACTTTTCTATGGCTTGGCTTACAAATCATAACATAGCAGTTTACTCAGGAAGAAAACAAGAAAAAGTGACCTAGGTAAAGTTGTCACTAGATTCGAGTAGTTCCATCCTGGACTCGCCCAGAAACTTGTTCTAAATCTCCTATTCTTGTTCCAGATACAACTGGAGTCGAGTTGTATCTGGAACAAGAATAGGAGATTTGCAACAAATTCCTGGGCGAATCCGGAATGGAAATACTCGAATCCAGTGATGACTTCATCTGCGTGAAAAAGTGCATAAAATTAGAAGAGATGAAAACAGATAACATATAGAGGAATATGTGCCACTGTTATTCATTATAATGTGAATGTGAGTCCTGCGAACAAAATTTTCACATATCTCGGTTCCGAATGTTTAATGAAAATTATTTTGGGTAGAATATCGATGGTCGCCCTGGACGGAACACAACAGGTGTTACGTGAGTCGACACGGCTCCAGAAGACTCTAACTTCAGTTGGTTAACTGTGAGCAATCCAGCTTTTGTCATTTTCGTGACGTAATCTTGGATAGCATGTTCAATAGCCCCATCTCGACTTTTTCAGTGCGTACTGTCACCCTGGATTGTTGAACTTAATGATGGACACCAGAATCTACCGCTCCACGTCCACTCCCAACGATAAAAACCACCTTTGAATTGTGAATAACATGTTGTGCCAAAAGCTTGTTTTGTGTCAATATCACTCCACGAATGGTACTTGTTGTAAATAGCCGTGCCGATAGAAATACCACATAAAACCCAGTCTTCATTTATGCAAGAAGTTAAATCAACACTGTTACAAGTTGCTTGTTCATGAAAAATTGCGCTCAAAACTAGAATAGCCAACAAAAATTGGAAGACTTTCATATTTTGCAGTGATTTCTTTCGAGGTAATGATAAAGAATAAAGAATGTGTTGAAGAGACGCATTTAAAAATCCCTTTTTATACCTAGAAAGTGGATGACTTCCTTTTTTTGACTTTGTCATGCTTATTGCAATTTTGGGGAGATAAAGTTGGTATATCATGATTAATTATATCATGAGTGATATATAGCTACTTCCTAGGGTGTGGGGTGGGTGTGCGTATGAGTGTGTTGGTGGGTGTGGGTGTAGGTATGTCGGTGCGGGTGTGGGTGGTTACAAGGGCATTCTACATTCGTACCTGCACACCCACCCACACCTACACCCACTCACACCCCACATCCACACCCACACCCACCCCACATCCACCCACACCTACACCCCACCCACACCCACTCATACCTCGCATCCACACCCACACCCTAGCTTGATCAATAAATTGTAAGAACGACTAAATATTTAGAAATTTTTTTAAATATCAGTAAAACTTCAAAAAGCTTCATACAGATAAACAATTGAGTGATCATGATCGGCATACATGCTGATTATATTAATAGATGCTAACAAATGCAAAATTTATTTGTCGATTTCTACCTAATCGAAATATCTTTACATTATTTTACATGTACGTAATCCAATACAATAATAATACAAGAAAATTATTCGCATCTTACAATTATTTGTGAACGTTTTTATTTTGAAAACATTTCAGACAATGTATCAAGTTCCTCTGAATATTAATCACACATTCGAAGCCATACAACAATCAGAATAATCTTTCTGAGTTCAAATAAAAATGACTTAAAAAAACACGTTTTCATTTTCAACTTTATTCACATAAAAATAAAACTATATACATATAAAATCATGATAATCTAATTTCTACATATCCTGCACTTATTCTAACCACAACCTTATGTCCATCGATAATATTTAAATCAAATGCTTGACGACGTTTATCAATAATATAACTAGGAGAATAATGATGATCGATTACTGGAATTAAACTACAATAAATTTGAAGATAAGACAAATTTTTTAAATGGCAAAGTAATATATCAATAGCAGATACGAAATCATCAAATGAACACACTCGAAGTTTAATATCAGTAAGTGATGGAAAACGTTCAACAATTTTTGATGTAAAATTTCCAGGAACATAACGATCTTCTGTTGTCGAATTGAGCACTTTCATTTGTTTGAAAATTGAAATAAGATATTGATTATTGATGAATTCTGATAAAACCAAATATGAAGGACTTATATTAAGATTAATCACATTTTGACATGCTCTAAAACACAAAAATAAAATACAATAAATATATTTAAATTTATTGCCAATGATTATTATTCTATAGAATTCAATATAATTCATCTGACATAAAATGATATTATTCATTGATAAAAGAACAGAGTTATCAAAAAAAAACTCAAAGATTTAGAGATCATTATAATACAATAAAAATGATTTTCCATCAATATGAATTATACATACTGTAGAATTAATTGAGTATCTTTCCACCCAGATGTATCAACCTCCGATTGAAAGTTTATTTCATTTACATTGGATAAATGAACAATATGTGAAAGATAATTAACACATAGTCGGCAATATTTCATTCTCATTTGATTGAACAGAGTTCACTAAAAAAAATAAAACATAATGAATAACGACGGAAAGAATAGTCAAGTGAAATTTGTCTATATATGAGAAAAATCGAAAATATTCAGTTTAAATCAATTGAAAGTAACAAATTCATTTTCATCAACTGAACTATATAATTTAAAAGAAATATGTAATCTCCTTACTAATATTCAATAAATTGTTCGACGACGACGATGAATATATTATTGGCATATATATGACGAGAGAATTGATATGTTGAAATAAAGGAAAAGTAATTCTTTGACTTATATTTCTCACGTCCAATTCTAAATATTTTGTGTCTGAATAATAAAGATAATGATCATTTGTTGTTGTTGTTTTTGTTGATCGTCTCTCCAATGATTCATAATTAATTAATGGAAGCTGCATACTTAGATTTCTTTTATAATTCTGATAAGCAAACGTGCGTAACATAAAAGCTTCTTCTACATATATACATATATATATATATATGTATATATTGAAAAAATTTAATTTCGACATAAACAGATTCTCATAAACTAAAGTTTAAATCTTCATTATCATAGAATTGGTTGTTGTCTGTCAACTGTGTCTGATATTTTACGTAAATTTCTTTCCTTGTCAAACGAAAGTTGACATTTGTGGGAGACAAATATTTTAAAATTGATGAATGATTGCAATGGATAAGATTCAAGAATTTCATATTCAAACTGATAGTTGACTAATCCATTATTTTTATGATAGATTTTGAATGTTTCTTTTTTTTTCCTCGTTTGTCATAAAGAAAAACAATCCTTTTCTCCAACAAAGTCAACTATATGACAGTTATAAATAAAAATATTTTTATGACTAGTTTTGTTTCAGTGAGTTTGTTTAATTTCCAAGCTCACTTCTTGAATTTAACAAGCATTTTTATCATCTTAGAATGCACGTCTATAAAAAGGCTTCTATTTTTACTGACTTTTTTCCGCACTAATTGAACTTCTGAGCTCTTTCTTTCGTATAAAACGAAACACAAAATCAGTTTGTCAGGACTACAGATTAGTTTTAGTCGTACAAAAAGAACAAATTATTGTTTAACAAAAAATCATTGACAAAGAAATATGGACTATCAAAAAGCTATTTTTAATTTTTTTTTTGGTAACTATCGCATGAATGCACTCTACTACTGAGCTCGGAATCGTGTTATATTCTCTCTCCACCTAATCATTTAGCCAATAATCACATGGTGCAAGGTCAGGTGAATATGGTGGATGTGGCATTATTTTGATACGTTGTTCTGTTAAATAATTAATAACATCA